ACCATTCATAACACCCTAGCAACTGCATAGCAACATTCTAAAAAAAGAAAAAAAAAACACTCAGAACACTTCCCAACTGCATAGCAACACCCTGGAAACCACGAACACAACAGCCAGCGACTTTTACATGGACAAGCACCATTCACATTGTCTTTAGAAAATGTAACAGTCTTATTTCAAAGTAATTTCATTAAGTAATCCTCTCGGTTTCATTGAAAGACAATGGAAATGGGATGTTTTTGAAAGCTTTCAAACTGCTTTTGTTTTCATTGTTAATGATATCATGTGTAACAATGAGGTGATCAATCACTGCCATTCTTCACTGTCACACTGTCAAGCTCTTTGAATAGAAAAATCTGGCAGTGGCCAGTGACCAGTGACTCAGTGAGCTTCAAGATTGTAGAATAGAGACACAAAGGAAGTGAAATGCACAATTAGGAACTTAATTTCATTCACTTGCCAAGTTTACAAATGTAAGGAGTACATATGATGATGAAAACATTAATACTGCTGTATGCATCAGAGTTGAGCAAATTCAGAGTTTGTGAGTAGGTTTAGAGCTGACAAAACCAAATATATCCATCAGGTTCAGCAGGTTCACAACACTCGCTGTAAACATTATCTGCCAATTCAGAGTTTGATCCAGAGTTTATTAATTGAGTACATGCATCTGAAAGTGTGACAACTACAGCAAACACCCAATCACATAAAACATGGAGAGAGTCAGTTTTGATTAACTTCTTGCAAGACATATTATTATTATAATTGCTTATTAGCATGCAAATTACTGGCATAATGGCTACATGTTTATTAGTACTTATAAAGCACAAATTATTCTTATTATACTCAAATTATAGTCTTATTCTGCATGCGCATGTTTTAGATCCCTTAACCCATAACTAAACTAACAACTACCTTGCTAACTATTAATAAGCAGCAAATAAGGAGTTTATTGAGGCAAAGGTTGTAGTTACTAGTTAGTTAATAGTGAGAACTGGTCCCCAAACTAAAGTGTGACCCTTTAAATGCACTGAGAAAAAAGGAAAAATTAGCTTTTTATACCTGATCTGACATTTGAAAATTACGTTCGCTAATGTAACCCAGCATACCATAAAAGATATAGTGTCTGCATTGAACAAAAATACAAAAATGCTTGACTGCATAATGCAATGATCACATACCAGAATCACATATTCAAGAGTGGCGTAATGATTGTCCTCACCAAACATTTTTAGTGTGTAAATGGCAATGTGAAGTGTACTCTTATGTCTAACCGTATTATAGTTTGTATTTTGTCAGTCATGACTACCCACTGGCTTCTGAGTCACCCTCTGCATCCCACAATGCACCAGGGTGCTGCTCTGAGATTGTGTGTGCTGACTCTCAAATTGTTCTTCTTCCTGTACTTTTGTCCAAGTCCTCTCTCTCTTTAATGCCAGGACACGATTATCAGTAGTGACAGCTCAGCTGTGTCTGCCCAAACCTAGCCTCCCATCTGAGTGAGGCGGCAAAGACCCTGCTGCTTCACGATCACACAGGACTGGGCTTCACTGTAGTCCATGACAAGTCCAGTGCACCCTTTCATTTAGAAGTCACAGCCTGTTCATTTTAAAGGAGATATAACCAGGCCTGCGTGAAATCTGTGCATGCAGCACTCCAAAAAAATATTCATATATTTCAACAAAACACATAGCCTATCTCTTTCCAGTTTGTTTTTCGTCATTTGTGTTGCTTGTTAAGACAAACTTCACTGATATTATTGGTCATACTTAGAGTTAAGCAATTAAACGTACAAGTTTTGGCCAGCAGGCAAAATAAAATAAATAAATAAATAAATAAATAAATAACGGTGGGAAAAAAGTACTTACTATGTTATGATGAAAAGTTCAGTCTATAGGAATATGTAAGAACTACTTCAAGGGTTTCAGTCCAGTTCAGTTCTATGTGAATATATATTAAAATGTCATTTATTCCTGTGATGCAAAGCTGCATTTTAAGTATAATTATTCCAGTCTTCAGTGTCACATGAACATACATTGTTTGTTTTTTTGTTTTGTTTTTTCTCATTGCAAACCACCTTCCCTATTGAAATCAAATGATTTGCAGATATCTCTAACACTACCATTCAGTGTAAACTTCACATACTGGCTCCACCAGGAATTTTCAATTTGCCACCTGAATTGAAACAAACCTGTTTCACAAATTGCACAACCACATTAATAGAAATTGAACTCCTATTTAATATTTTCAAATATTTAATATCCACTGTGAAAAACGTAACTATCATTATCATATTTCAGCAAGACCAGGAGAGTTTGGTAGCTTGGTAGCATGTTTGGTGGATCTATTCCAACACCACAATGTAATTAAACTTACATTGAAGGAAGGGCTTAAGACTCTGAGGTGACTTTTGGCAGCTTATATGGCAGAAACCACTCATCAATGACTCAGCAATGAATAGGTGTGCTCAGAAATCCACTATGAACACCTTAGATTAGATAGATTATGTATTTAATAAATTTAATCAGATTTAAAGACTTTTGCAGGGGTTTGGGCCTTATTTTATTGTGCTCTGTTCTTTATCTAGGCATTTAGCATCAGAACCTGACCATGATTTTGTGATGTCACATGCAAAAGAGACAATGTTGTTATGGATAAGTTTGTATATCCCTCTTTTCTTCCCTGGCTTTGTTAACGCCTGAAGACGAAGTCATTGCTGTTGTTCTTTGTCATTTTTAACAGGAGGAGCTGGGTCTGATGTCGGCTGCTGAGTCTCTCTGAGTGTCTGGTGAAAATGAGGACAAGCGCTGAGGAGCGTGGGATGTGTCGGGAGGGCACGGCACGGGAATATGTATAATCATGCAGATGAAAGAGATTGAGCTGCAGTCATTGAGCCACATTTATCTTGTGGGTGGAAGTGCTGCTTCGGCTTAAATTTGGATTTTAAGAATGCAGTGAAAAATAGAGCCATAGAAAAAAAAGGCCATGTGAGCTTAAATCACATTTGCTCTGTGAATACAGACCTGCTTTTGGAAACCTTTACATTTTTACGTTGCAAAAGCTTGTTGCTTTAAGGAGTATAGTTTAATGTAGGTCATATAGTGAAAAGTACTACAGATAGTTTAAGTATGTATATGAAGTAAAAAAATAATGTAAATGCCTCAATAAATAAGATATACAACTGATACAACACTGACATTTTTGTCCAATATTCCAACTGTTTACATTTTAATTATGTCAGACAGACAGACAGACAGACAGATAGACAGACAGACAGACAGACAGATAGATAGATAGATAGATAGATAGATGATGGATGGATGGATGGATGGACGGACAGAAAGATAGATGGCTGGGTGGATGGATGGACGGATGGATGGACAGATTGTTACACTGACTGAAGGAAAGATGGATGGATGGAAGGAAGGACAGATTAATACATTGGTTGAAGGAAAGAAGGATGGAGGAATGGATGGATGGATGGATGGACAGATTGATAGATTGTTTGAAGGAAATATGTATGGATGGATAGATGGATGGATGGATGGATGGACAGATTGATACATTGATTGAAGGGAAGAAGGATGAATGGATGGATGGATGGAGAGATTGATAGATTGTTTGAAGGAAAGATGGATGGATGGATGGATGGACAGATTGATACATTGATTGAAGGGAAGAAGGATGAATGGATGGATGGATGGAGAGATTGATAGATTGTTTGAAGGAAAGATGGATGGATGGATGGATGGACAGATTGATACATTGATTGAAGGGAAGAAGGATGAATGGATGGATGGATGGAGAGATTGATAGATTGTTTGAAGGAAAGATGGATGGATGGAAGGAAGGACAGATTAATACATTGATTGAAGGAAAGAAGGATGGATGAATGGATGGATGGATGGACAGATTGATAGATTGTTTGAAGGAAAGATGGATGGATGGATGGATGGATGGATGGATGGACAGATTGATACATTGATTGAAGGGAAGAAGGATGGATGGATGGATGGAAGGATGGACGGATGGACAGATTGATACATTGATTGAAGGGAAGAAGGATCGATGGATGGATGGATGGACGGATGGACAGATTGATACATTGATTGAAGGGAGGATGGATGGAAGGATGGACGGATGGACAGATTAATACACTGATTGAAGGAAAGAAGGATGGATGGATGGATGGATGGATGGAAGGAAGGATGGACAGATTGATAGATTGTTTGAAGGATAGATAGATAGATAGACAGACGGACGGACGGACGGACGGATATATAGATAGATGATGGATGGACGGACAGATTGTTACATTGACTGAAGGAAATATGGATGGATGGATGGATGGAAGGAAGGACAGATTGATACATTGATTGAAGGGAAGAAGGATGGATGGATGGACAGATTGATATATTGATTGAAGGGAAGAAGGATGGATGGATGGATGGAAGGATGGACGGATGGACATTGATACATCGATTGAAGGGAAGAAGGATGGATGGATGGATGGACGGATGGACAGATTGATAGAATGTTTGAAGGATAGATAGATAGATAGATAGATAGATATGGATGGACGGACAGATGGATGGACAGACTATAGATCGTTTGCATTTATAATGCATTATGATTATTTGTAATGCTGCTGTACAGTGTTATGAACAGTTACCGAATTTATCAACTCCACCTTAATACATACATATTATATGACATTATATAGCACATTTTATAGCATGCAGGGTTAATAGAAAGTGTTTTCTGCAAATTGCAGTGTAATATTAGCCCAACACAATCAATATTATACGACTGACACAATGCGCACATAGCTGTCATTTTTTAACATTATTCGTCTGACTTACACCTTCATTAGTCTGGACGAGTCTCGTGTCATGAGCAGTCATTGATGTCTATTGGAGAGCTGTAATCGTTTACTCCTCCTCCTCCTCCACATGCTGTCGGCTGTGTGGGTGTCTGACAGCTCCGTGAGCCTCAAACCCGAGCGCTTCAACACTCGCCGCAACGCGCGCGCCGCCGCTCTCCGCTCAAATGTGCTTTTCTTCCTGCGTACCTACGTTCCGCGCTCCTCGTGTCCTCCGTAACTCTCTCAGGATCGTTTCGGTGCTGATGTGAGTCCAGTACATTCATTCATTTGACACATTTCTTCAGTCGATGAGTATGCGTTCACATTGGAGTTACATCGCCTGGATTTGCGTCTTCAGTCTCGGCGCGTTCAGGACTTTCTGCATTCCCAGTAATGAAGGTAAGACGCGGGATCTGGGAACGGTGCTATTTGCAGGGATTGATGGTTGACAGTCACTGGATTCCGTAAGGAGAAAATACAGTTCTGGAAATAAAGGTTCTGCAAAGAACGCTCTTCTAATCAAGAACCATTTTCGGCTCCATTCGGTTCTTGGGTTGCTATATGGTTGTTTGGAGACTAAAACAAAAGTTCTTGATGATAAATTAAAGGTTCCCCCGATCCGTGCGTTGGTTTCTTAATTCGCTACATTATCACGATACAGTGCTTTTTTTTTTAAAGTTGTGTAGAACTTAAAAAGGTTCTCCAATGGCATTAGACTGTGAAACCCTTTGATTTTAAATGGAACCATTATGTTATGTCAGAAGCATATGTGAAGCATTATTTTTAAGGTCGACACACAATTTACCACATATATTACAATGAATGCATAAACAGTGTACACACAATATACACATGGAGAAGTATCAATGCATCAGAAACCTGTCAGATCTTCTCCAGAACATGTTATATAGGTCTTTTAGGACATTTTGTGGTATATGTCCATACGGTTCTCCAAAACAAATGTTCTCTACACGGCGTGAAATGTCATGTCAAAAGTGCAGCATCATGTAATATATCTTCCGTTAAGCCAACAGTGATTTCACACCAGACCGTTTAATGGAGCAGAAGTTCCTGAACATCAGTGATTACAGTTCAACCAAACTCCCAGCCAGCTGGCTTTTAAACACCTCAATTCACTATTGTACATTGACTGAAAACGTGAATTCATAAAGTGTATTGTGAATTGCTTCATTGCCTTTGAACACGTTCAATGGGTCCTTTTAAAGATTTTATGAATCGTATTGTTCACTAAGAACATCCATTCACAGACAGTTCAGAAATCACAGCTCAGATCAGAACGAAAGCACTATTCAACCGCCAAGCTTTACAAGAGTTATTAATGTTGATTCAATGGTCTATTTAAAAACCTTTTGTAGCATTTTCTTTCAAGATACAGATATTAAACGGTAGATTATTGCAGGACAAAAATGAATGCCTACGATACTATTTCTACAGACAAAGATATAGATGATGCACTTCAAATGAATATTTTATTTTCAAAGGTTAAGTTCACTAACTAAAATATATCTGTTGCATTGGACCCCAATGGCACTTTTGGTAAAAATATGACGTCTCTTTTTTTGTGAGAGCTGATGTGTACACGTGGGATGGTGCATTTGCATTAGAGGCGTAAAGACAAAGGAAACACAGACACGTCTTCATCAAAGTTCCCTAAATCTGCTTTGTAGTGGTCAGAGAACAGCAGGCACTGACTATAAATCAAATTCCATATTTTACAGCTTTATTTCCCAGGATACAAAACTGCATTCCTAAGAAACCCTTTCAAGTTACAGGACGTTTTAATTAGCGTACATAAAAATGATTTCACCCGGTGTTACCTTGGGAAATGTCAACAAATTATCTGCAAGTGAAATTGATGTGTTGCAATTGATCATTTGGGCTGAAGTGTGCAGACTATAGAATATGTAAATATTCTAATGAGCAGAAGTCAGCATATGGATAGTGCAATGACAAGTGTGGGGATGAGTTGATTGATTGTACGCTGATGATGGCACAATAAAAATGAGAGCGGGATGGGGGAGGGCGCTCGGGTGCCTACACAGACTGGCACAATGGCCCAGCAGACGCGCAAGGACGATGGCCACTCGAAAATCACAATAGCGGCAAGTCTGGTAGAATTCGAACAAACCTGTCGATTCGGAGAGCTGTGACCTGCGGTGAACTGTGATCTGTAGGGAAATGCGCTTTCAAATTAACATTGCAGTTACGTTTGGACAGTTCAACCTTGAAGCAAAAAGCCAATCAAATCAGAAGATTCACTTTGCCATATACTAATCTTCCGTACACTAATGAATATTTTTTACAAATATTTATTCGATGTTTTTATTTTTGCAGTTTTAAAATGTATTTACGTCCCTCTTGAAGTTAGATTTCCGCATATTGCTCCTCTTTCGGTATTTGTATTTGCCTAAGGATGGACACAACCTCTCTTTTATCTAGTTCAGAACTGTACTTCTTTGTTCTAATTAGATTTATGTGATTCTCCCCAGGATATTTTTTTTTCAGTTTAAGTAGGACAATGTACACCAATGTCTGCCATTCAAAAGAAATACATTTAGACTTCATTTACAGACATTTCAATAGGACACAAGCAGATTAAATGTATTTGTTTTTCTTCTCTGCATATGTGTTCCGTTCTCACAAATCAGTATCAAATTTGAGGTTACATAACATTTAAGATCAATAACCAGCGTTCGCATCCAGCTGTTGGCCTTATTTATTAGGGCATGAAGTAAAAAAAAAAAGATTCTAAATGTGTGTTTTTAATTTCAGAAGTTCTGATGAACTAATCTTTACCCTTTTACATCTTCTTTTTTTAGCACTATTGTGACATCTGTGTGGGTTTCTTAGTCACTAGCTTGTTGTTTTATTCCCAAAATGGAATTGTTATTGTGAGTCATCTCACACATGCTAAACAGTCTCACCACACAACCTTTGATCAACACAAGGTCAAATTAAAATTCAGCCCTGATCGGACTGTGAATGTAAAGGTCATCTAATTAGCTGTGGCGGTACTCATTCGTAAAAGGTTCCAGCAGATACAAAAAGAACCTGTGACCTACTCTGGGTATCAAATACTGGCACAATAATAAAAAAAAAAAGACTGGATTGTTTAATAGACATCTCACATAGAATGTGCACTCAATTTAACCAAGGGCAAAGATTGCACAACAGATATTATTCCATGTTCTCTCTTTCTAAAGGGTACATTTTCAAATGATTACCCTCATTGTTCAGAAACATTTAGATCAGTATCACAATAAGACAATGTGATCTCATTTGTGTTTGCAGGTATTCAGATGTGAATTGTCTGGATGCGTAATATTTTCCGTGTGCAATTGATTTTCAGGGGCTTTTTCCCCCCTAAATTTATAAATTATAAAAACGATTTTTAAGGAATAAAAAAAATAATATTAATTTTTTTAATTACATTTTTTGCACAAGTCCTCATTAATGTTGGACCTGTTACAATATCAATAAATTGACAGCATCTAAAACATTTTACAGACATGCACCTTTCCATGAAGGGTCATAGATATGTAAGTCATATAGACTTTTTATTCTACTTTGAATAAATTGGATTAAATATGTTTAATGGCCTGACATTTAAAATCGATTTCCATTATTTATATACATGTGCATGTGCGTACTTTACTTATGAATGCCTCTGAAAACAAAGACTCAATATGAACTATATTGTTATTAAAAGGAAAAAGAGACACAAACTAAATGTATACATATTAACACCTGCAGAACCTAATGCAATCACCCTGAACTATAGATAATATGTGATAAAGGACAATACATGTGATAATAATTACAATTTAAGTAAATGTTTTTAAAATGTTGAATAATGTGTGTGTACAATGTATGTATAGAAATTGATCTGCACTTTATTTTAAGATGTCATTGTTACAGTGTAATTACAGTGTAAGCACTGAGTAATATAGTTAACAGCATGTGCTTCCTATATAGTTAGGGTTTGGTTTAACAATAGTTGTTTGTAATTATGCAACCTTTACTGTTCTTACTACAGTAAACACATGTATTGTGTAACAAGGACCTTGCAAAATTAAGTGTGACTGAAAACTACAGTACAGAAACGAATTAGATCAATTCTGAGCGAGTCGATATTGTGATTGCGCTCGGCATATAAATGCTCTTTCTATATTGCTTTTACAACTGCAGATTATTGATTTGTCTGTGTTTCTCGTTCTCCCGCAGTGAACTTGCTGGACTCTCGCTCTGTAATTGGTGACCTGGGGTGGGTCGCCTATCCGAAGAATGGGGTGAGTTCCACACATCTTCCTGTCTCTCAGCACTTTGAGTTAAGAGCCGGCTTCAGCAGAACATCTCAAGGTCTCAGATTCCCTCGACGGCAGGAAAGACAGTTTCAAAGTGAAAAATAATAGAACGTGGAGAGTGCAGCACGGAGAGAGAGGGACTACGAGAGGTCAGAGACAAACAGAGAAGAAGGGAAAGCCCTTCTTTGTTCTAAAAGAGGCACAAAGACACTAAACCTGCTGTTCTAATTTCTTTGTGACGCTCAGAATGTAATTAATTTCTGTCGAGTTAGCTGATTGGTAAACCTGCTAAACAATGTGTTTAGTTTAATGACAAACCGCCAAGTTTATATACAGTATGTGTCTGTTTTTCTGTTTCGTATTTCCACTTAGAATACCAAAGTGAAGAAAGCTGAAGCTACATGAAATGGTTTGTCAGCAGAAAAGGAACATGTGTTGAGTGTCTTGGTTGTTTTTGACAGGCTGACAGGAATAAGCAGCTACAAACTTGAACACAACATGAAAGTAAATATCCCAAAAAAAAACTACCCCCACCATCATGTTGACTTCTTATGTCATGCACCGACTAGGGCTGTGCGATATTGACAACATTTATATCTCAATATTTATTGGGATTTTTTGGATAACAATAATGAAATTATATTTTGCTGAGTGTGTTTTTGTGCTGGTACCCTGGCTCGTTTAAATGGAAGCCCATTTCTGCCACTGAATAATAATAATTAAAATAATTAAATAATAATTAAAATAATGCACACCCAGGGTGAAAATGCTTTATATCTCGCAATTGTGACTTTTGTTCCCCCCTCAGTACTGTGAGATATAAACTCGCAATTGCTAGATATAAAGTCATAACTGCGGGAAATAAAGTTGCAATCTCATGTTATAAAGTCAGAATTGCAAGATATAAACTCCAAAAAAATAGACGGATTATTTTCTCACAATTTCAAGTTTATACCTCACAATTCTGACTTTATAACGCGCAATTGCATATTATAAAGCTAAAATTGTGAGATATAAACTCACAATTCTGAGAAAAAAAAGTCACAATTGTGACTTTATTTCTCAGTATTGTCAGTTGAAATCTCACAATTCAGACATTTTCTCGCAATTACAAGTTGATGTCGCAATTCTGACTTTTTTCTCTCAATTGCGTGTTTCTGTCACATAATTATGACTTTGGAACTCGCAATTGTGAGTTTATATCATGCAATTGCGAGGAAAAAAAGTAAGTTGTGAGAAAAAAGTAAGAATTTTGAGATAAAAAGCGGAGAACTCTGTTCATATTTTGTATAATGATGCATTTGCAAGGTAATGTAAAAGAGTAAAGTAAAAGATCCACACTTCACAAATCTATCTGAAATAGTCGACCATCCAGGGACTTTTGGCATACACTTTTCAGCATACTATGCTTTGGGACACACTTATTCTAATCTCACATACTATTTAGGATGGACAGTATGAACGTTGGTACGCAAGGCCTGTCTTTATGAATGGATCATTGAATCACTGATTCAAATGATTAGTTCAAAGACAGATTAATTCAGGAACAAAACACTGGTGTCGCTCTGAGATGTGCAAATGATCTGCTCCAGCTTTGTTTGGAACTATTTTCATTGGCGAAACAGAAAAAAAACAAAAACAATATCCTGTCTAAAATGTAACTCAATCAACATAAATTTCTTGTTTGTTGAACTGTTGTATAAAATTACTATCACATTTGCGATTGTGACTATGCTCATGCACTAATATTCAGGAAAACGGCACTGTTTCTTGTGTGATATTACTATAAACATAAAGGGATATTTTTGGCTTTCATAATTTGAATTATAGGGGCATTGTTTCGTGTGTGATATTACTATAAACATAAAGGGATATTTTTGGCTTTCATAATTTGAATTATAGGGGCATTGTTTCGTGTGTGATATTACTATAAACATAAAGGGATATTTTTGGCTTTCATAATTTGAATTATAGGGGCATTTTAACTGCATTCTAATAGGCTTCATCACGCAGTCAATGCTTTTGGATTCTTAAGACCAGTTTTTTTTGTTTTTTTTTGCAGTGAGTGACATATATACTCTATAATGTCAGCTTGCATATTGTTAAAACAACAATTACGATATTATCACAGATGATAACTATCATTGACCCAGCTCTCACTTTTAGTTTTGGATTTTGATTAGAAAAGTGTATTTGCTTTAGGACTGTGCAAACATTGTGATTTATCCATTCTCGATATCAGCTTGCTCGTCCCAGCTGCTGTGTAGAGGCCTTTATTGTTATCTAGCGTGGCCTGCATCCAGTGTTGACAGTGTGCAGTTATAGCTTAATTCATTTTCCTGTTGTGATGGTAAAAAAGAGCGCTTGCATTGTGCTTACCTACACCTGCCCTCCAATGCAACAATACAGGCCGACAATAGATGCTAAAGTCTCCAGGCACGCTGGATAACACCTGTTATTGGAGACAATTATTCCTCCTTTCAGATGGAAATACAAACATCCTTGCGTGATATCCTGAATATGACGTGAAATCTGAGGAGCGCTAAATCAATGTCAGATATAGCAGAGGGCTTTTCACATCCTCCTTGGCCCGTGTAGGTTTTGATAGTTTTTTTTTTCAATTTGAAATGAAATAAGCAGAAACGAGAAAACGGCGCCTTTATTCGTTTTTTTTGTTTCTTCAACTTCAACCAACCCTTTTTTGGTTTATGGGTAGAAAAAATGATAAATGACTTCAAAATTTGTTTCCCTCATGTGGGCGGTCATGCGAAATCACCCTTTCTGCTGATTGGTCAACCAAATCTGAAGCTGTGACATCATCAGTTGTTCCTCAGTTCTGTTCAACAAAATAATAGTCCTCTGCTGCTATAGCAGTACCGATTCTTAAACTGTACAGGGCATGTCCTAGATTGGGCTTTCTTCTGTGCACCCTAATGCGTTGCACAGACATATCTATTTTTAGAAATAATAATCTGCACCCAGCCTGTTTTATTTAGATCAATTTATTTCTTTATTTAGAACAGATCAATGTTCAGTCAAGTGTAAATACGCAGCAGTCATAACTTTTCTTTTAGACAGTACACTCAGTTTTGGACAAGAGATGGTCATTGCAAATATTGTAATGCAAATCGGCTGAGGGTACCGAGGATGGTGAATTTAATTTTTACTGTACTGTAATCATAGCCACGCTAACGTCACGTTTTTCCAGGATTTAAGTTATGAGTGTGCACAGCCTAGACGCTTGAGTAAGATGTGGATAAACAACTGTAATAAATAACTAACTCTTAAAGCTTGTGCCAGTAGTCTGTGGTAGATTACTAGATTAATATTTCTGAAATAAACATGGTACAACATTCCGACAGATTTGTTTTTGTGACATCATTCATTCATTCATTCATTCAAGTCCATTAAATAAATATTTTCCTAAATAATTTCCATGGAAATTAAGGCACAAAAGGCCTTTAAGTGAAGTAGGAACATGTTAACCTTCACGGACTAGATTGCCAGGTAACTGTCAGGGTTCTGGACTGTCTGTGTGTGTTTTGCTCCCTGTGACCCAGTTTCTCCTCGTGTTAATTTGATTATGATTCCATGTACCTGTGTTCCCCTGATTGCCCTGTGTTTATTAGCCCCAGTCTGTGTAGTCTTCCTTTGTCGGTTCTACTTGTTGGATGTTGTGAAATTAAAGACTGTTTATGTACTCCACGTCTCCTTGTTCCTTGTTCCTTGTTCCTTGTTCCGCGCTCCTCCTAGCACAGATCGTTACAGAAGAACCGACCAAAGACCTCAGTGTGTTTCCCCTCTGTTTGTTTTCCGTTTTTTTTTCCTCAGTGTTTTTGTTTCCATTGTGTTGCTTCTAGGGCTGTGCAAAAAATCGAATGCGATTTTCATGCGCATCTCGTCAGTAAAGCCGCTCCTGTGATTATAAGTAAATCTCCAGCACGGGCGTTCAGAAGGAGGGGCATTTACTACACAGAGCCGTAGTTCACTGACAAGCTACACAAAATTGTGTTCAAAATCGCAGGTGATTCATTGCTGATTTTGAACTCAATTTTTTTCCGCCCAGAATTCCTCCTCCTCCTGCTGGAGCAGGGGGACAAATCTCTCAAGAACCATACAAGACTGTTCCGGCTGTTAGCTAGCACCACCAGCTACCCGGACGACGCGCGTCTCATTCTATGACGCGAGCCTGAACACCGCGAGCAGAGCGCCGTCGTCCGAGGATGGTCCTCGAGAGGATTTCGTTGCCTTCGTGGAGTGGACTCTGCCGAGAAACGGATCGCCATCCTAGCCCGTAAATGATCTCTTCAGATCCACTCCAGACCCAGTGCCCAGCCCACCATCTCCCCGCGGTGCGGAGCATCAGCCCGAGCCCACTGATGACGGAGAGCCAATTCCCGCTACCTTGGTCGGGCATCGACCCGCCATCGCCTCACGAGTCCGCTCCTCCGGCTGCACCTCGTCTCTCCGTCCCACCGGCTCTATTGGGCTCCTTCCTCCCGCCAGCTCCACCTTGTAGTTTTCCTTTGTCGGTTCTACTTGTTGGATGTTGTGAAATTCCCCCGTCATTCCAAGGATTAAAGACTGTTCATGTACTCCACGTCTCCTTGTTCCTCGTTCCGCGCTCCTCCTAGCAAAGATCGTGACAGAAACAACCCTAGACAGATATTAATATTAAATAATACTATTAATCTTAATTGTATTATTATACATAAGATTAATTCTAATCTTATATAATCAATAGTAGTATTTGATATTAATATATTAATGCTATTTTGTCCTATTTATTAAACTATTTGAAATACATTAAAATATAGTATGTACATCAAATTTCATGCACCTCTTGAATGATGAGCATGTTTTAGTGTACATGTAAGTAAATAAATAAATAAATAAATAAATGCAACTCTCTTGATATCCTAATGGTTAAAATGGTTCTCATTATTATTATTATTTTATTTTATTTTTCCTATGTTTTCCCATAA